TCGGCAACCACTCACGTGGTTCAAGGTTCGACCCTCACCCGACGCACCCCTAAGCTGATAGTAAGGCTTAGATGAGACTAGCAACCGCACCCGGTGAAAAAATAAAGCCACTGCTACTGAAACTTCAAAGCTCTAACTTGAAGCTGCCCTATGTTCCACTCGGAACGTAAAAGAATAAAATAAAAATCCTCACAAGGAAATTTTTCAATCGTGGAGTGCAGACACGGGATACCTGTTACTTTAGAAAGTCTAATTAACAGATGAATATTGTGTAGCATCAACGTGTTTTTGGTCATCCGAACAACTGTGTCTATCTGTTCCATACACTTAACATTTCAGTAGGTAGAACACAGAGTTTGAATCCCTTGTCAAGTGGTGGATAAACCCATGAATTGTGTGTGATTATCTGAAATGAAGCTGATACATGTAGAGTAAAAATAACACATATTAGTAAAATGTGTGAAAGAAGTGCTTGGAAGCATTCGGTAGGAAGTCATATATATACCTGTGTTTCGGGCACTGCGACTCACCTAGTTGGCAGACGAGAATTCAATGAATCACCAACTCTAAGGACTAGAACACGAATTTGAACCTAGCTGACTTTAGCGACTTAGAGATTGACTCGTTGCCATGATTTAGTCTTATTGACCTAGAATGCATGGATGATATAGTCTTCCTAGTTGAAGATGCTGGAACTCTGGAAAGAACACTTTGAGGAGCAGTTTAATTGGCCTACAGCCACACTCAACTTACCAAACATCCAACACCTCCCTGAATGGGATATAGACACAGATCCTCTATCCCTAACTGAGGTTACTAAGGCTGTCACTAATCTGAAACGAGGCAAAGTAGCAGGACTTGATGGAATGACTCCAGAGGTATTTAAGTACTGTGGAGACAGTTTACTGTCTGCATCAACTGAGGTTCTAGGCAGTGTCTGGGAATCAGAGGAAGTCCCATCGAGTTGGTGTAAGTCACTGATCATCCCCATATACAAGAAGGGAGACAAGTTTTCCTGTGATAATCACAAGGGGATTAGCTTGAATAATATGGTATCCAAAGTCCTAGGCTCAATAATAATGCGTAGACTAAGTGGTGCTCGGGAGGCACAAACCAGAGAAAATCAGGCAGGTTTTAGGCCAGGAAGAAGTCATATTGATCATATCTTCACCCTTCGACAGCTTCTGGAACATAGGCATTCTTACCGGCGTCCAACAGTTGTCATATTTCTTGACGTAAAGGCGGCATTTGTCTCCGTCGACTGAGAGGTACTATGGCGATGCTTGGCTGTAAAAGGAATGCCGAGAAAAAACATTGCACTGATCAAGGTACTCTACACGAACTCATGCAGCCAGGTGAGGGCTTACGGCGAGTTGTTATCTGAAGTGGTGACGACTAGTGGTGTCCGTCAGGGATGCTCATTATCCCCATTTCTATTCAATTTCATCATAGATGTACTAATGGACTTCACTCTAACTCACCTCAGAGACTCAGGGATTGATTTGTTACCACAGGATAATCTCGTTGACTTAGAATATGCAGATGATATAGTCCTTCTAGGTAGAGACTCTGACAAAATGCAGAGTCTTCTGAACACCTTGAGTTGCAATCTGCGAATGTTTAGCATGCGATTCGCTCCCGTCAAATGTAAGATGATGTTACAGGACTGCACTGGACTACACTGACTCCTAGCTTAGAAATAGAGAGTGAAGTGGTTGGTGGAGCGTGTTGACCACTTCACTTATTTGGGAAGTTGCATCAGCCAACGCCAACGGGTTGATCGCTGACTAAATCTCAGCATGGATACAGAAAGCTCGTTTCCCATATGCCAGATTAAGCCGTCTCTGGTTTAGTAGACGTGATATCCGGTGGACTGTTGACCAAAGGGCGGGTGTACTGCTCAGCAGTCCGCTCCGTCCTCCTTTATGGCTGTGAGACCTGGCCATTGAGAGTGGAAGACATGATCATAGGTGTCTGCGTTCTATCTCCCGCGTGAAGTGGTATAAAAGGGTAAGCAATCTTGATGTTAGGCGTCTAGTGGTAGGTAAGGAGGTAAATCAATCGACTGAGATGGTTAGGACATGTGTTACGCATGCATGCCTATCCATCGCCTACCTCGACAACAGGCAATGTTAGCTGACAAAGCATGAGTCTGGAAAAGAGCCATTGGTGATCAAAGCAAAAAAATGGAATTGATCGACGAATTCTTTGACAGTTAGTCTGAACCATATAGAGAAGTGTAGTCTTCGAGTTTCTATAAACCAATGAAGTCTGGAGACAATTGATGATACGGCCTGGAAATCGTCCTGAATAGCAGTGCAGATGCATTCATTCTTTTATGATCTTCTCTTATATCCATGATACCCCACTGTTTCTCACTGTTGCAATTCTTTCTCCCTCACATTTCTGCTCACTACAGCACTTTTGAATCTGTCTTTGTCTCTTTTGTGTGCTATATGAAGTGGTGCACTTCTGTGCAAAGTCAGTCAGTCAGTCAGAATACAAATTACATTAGCCTTCACACGTTTTAGTGACTTTTCTGTTTTTACTGGTATCTCGTCTAATCGATGAGTAATGTATATATATCTATGTATGCAATGACTAATTCTCTAATGCACGCAAGTTTTTAAAGTACATTTTATATAGCATAAATGTTTTTCATATCATTCTATTGACACGTGATGTATGGTAATTTATTTTCGTTAAACCTTTATTTTACTCTAGTGGCTTTCAAAATAAGCAATTAAAAAGAAAACACAATGCCGTTAATCTTTCTGCTGTGTAAAACTAACTGATTAGACGTCATCTTTTGTTTTTACTTTTCTTTTCTGTCTATCTGTCTGTTTTTCTGACTTTTCTTTCCCTACAAATAATCCACGATATGTATGTGCGTCGATTGTTGAGCGTTAGAACACCCGCCGACTACGCCACATGTGTGCGGTCCAGGGTTCGATCTCTGGTCACAGACCCACTCCAAAACCTCACTCACTAAGCTAGTAGTAAGACTGGTAAAAAGGGAAGATTGACCTAGTTGAGAATTACGCTCAGGAGGGCTTCGTGTGCTTTTGGAAATGTTTGGACGGTTGTTACCTCCTCGCTGTTCCCACCAACGTGGGTACCTGAAACAGAAAGAGAGTTAGTGTTTTGCGTGACAGCAGAGCCCAGGTGACAAGTGCTTGAAGCCGGTATGAACACTGGTTTCTTGGATTGGTTCCATATTAGTAAATTTACCACCGGTTGTTACGGACCACTGTAGGTTGGGTAAGTCGGGATGTAGAATTTTTGGGGCGATCATTTCTAACGTCCTCTCTAGGGTGGAGAGACAGCATAGATGGATCTGGCATGCTGGTCATCTGAGAGAAACACCTTACTGCTGTTACATCCCTGTTACCCAGCATAGTGTAGAAAAAGAATTCTTAAACTAAGCCGGTAACTGCTCTTAGTCTAATCGCTATCTTAACAATCTTCCTGGCATGGTAGGACCTGCAGGAACAATAGTTCCAGCCAGTGTAGCTTGTTGGGTCATTGCGATGTGCAAGCTTGACCACCACGTTAGGGTAGCAGCTATCGGTCGGATGTGAGGTGATGTAGACTTCCTGGTCCGGGTCTTCGGGACGGTAAAAACCAATGAAGGGTGGAGACAACTGGTGATATGGCTCAAAATCGTTCTCAATGGCTGGCGCAGATGTATCCACTCCTTGTGACCTATAATATCCAATAAAACTATATTGTTCTTAGATATTACTAGTCTTTTTGCCCCATATCTCTGATAAATAACATAGTAGTGTGACTTACCAAAACAGTGGCCAAGTTCAAATAAGTGTGTTTACATTTCCCCTATTCTATTTCATGACTCTGTTGCAGATGTAGACGATTGATAATGCAAATGTTTTATTAGCTCTTTTGCAGTCTGTTCACTAACTGTTTTTCTCTCTTGGAAGAGAAGAACAAACCCCCCCCCCAAAAAAAAAAGACTGTCCACGACATGATATAATGTTAAATGTGGTGGCATAGGTTAGAGAACTATTGGAAACCTGCATCGTGTACTGCACATATGATTTGTCCTTGCTTGCCACTTCTCAACAGTACGCACACATCACTCACCAGAAGTAGGAAATTCTTCGACCAGTGTATCGGGTCCCAGTGACTGTGGACCGTCTACCACCTTGACTTGTAACCGGAAGGTCCTGTGCTTTTAGCCTAGTGAGGTGAGTACTTACTTTACTTTACTTTACTTCGGCTATCTCCTACGGAAGGATGAGCCGGCTTCATGAACATCTCGAATCATCGCTGCCCAGGCGCGGCGATCTGTTGCAAGGTTTTGCGACATCGTTTGTAAGAGAGTTCATGAAGTTTCATGGGAATTTGGTACGAGTGATGTCCCCAGAATCGCTCGGCCTTTTGTTTGAGAGTGCAGCTCTAGCCTTTACACAACCAAGTGTGACCTACAAGGCAGTAGGAGTGGAGTAGGGAGTCCACTATCCATTGGCAGCCGGTGACCGAAGTTCGGTTCATACGCCTTTTTGAATGGGGGCCAGACATCCAGGACATCCAACAAGCCCTTTGTCCATACGTCTGCCGGTGAGCTCCAGTGAGCTTCATACGCCAGTCGTTGGAGGTTTGGAATCAGGGTTTAGCCATCTCCCCTAGACTGTCATCCAATGGACAGTCAACCCGGTGAAGAGCGCCGGGCATCCGCTTTCGCCCTCTCACTTTGGTGGAAAACACCTCCGCCACGTGAAGGCAGTGAGTAGGACTTCCTCAGGAGAGGCTATGTAAGACGCCCGGTCATATGGTGAGTACTACTAAAGAGGACGAAACAACTGTCCAGTACTCCTTGTTAGCTTCCAGTGTGATCCTGACACTAATCCGTATTCAGACTTGAAACAAATATTCATGAATTACGCAAATTAGGAAATATGGAATTAGATTTTACAGCACACTGTTCGAGTTCCACTCTCTCCTTAATTTATTTTGCTTTTTTTTCGTCTACCCTACAGTTCTCTTCCCTCGACATCTAACACCACAAGCTACACCGCGTACAATCAATCTTATGCATACAATACGTAATTATTTACACTATCATATAAAATGTTCAAAAGGTTATATTCATCGAAGAATGAGAGCTAAAAGTTTAGAATTTATCAAGATATTAAATCGTGCTAGACCACAGTATTATACTTCTACAGTGAATCCTGTTATACAAATCGGTCATCAAACAATCAATAATATCAATCGATCCACCTATTCAACATCATTCATGATAACTGACGACAGCTGTCTACTGACAAACGGGGAGGAGAATAATGGGTGTTGTTCATATAATAGTATAGATGACAGTGAAGAAATTGTCGATGGTAATCATATTCTTGATGCAGCTGTATCGAAATTGTCTACGATGAATATGAATACTCCTCCAGGAGTAGGAGGAGAAGGACGACAACAACAGCAACAAGTCAAACAGAAACAACCAGCTCCACAACCGCCGCCGATTGTACCTCGTAAAATATCATCATCAACAACAACAGCAAATACCCTGCCTCAATCCTCAGATTTTATGCTCAATAATGGTTATATGTAGGAAATGTAGAGTCGAAATGCAAGACAGAATTCTAAAGATATATATGCACATATGCCTACGTATTTCTTCAAACTTTCTTTCGTATCTCTGTGTGTGTGTGTGCGTGCGAGCGCTCGTGTCCTCTCGGTGTACCCTTGTTCCCCTTTTCAATTTACAAACCAACGGCTGGACGTGTGTCTGTGCGTGTGCCAACAAACTGCGTCTACCATTTATCTATAATATATCTATAGTGCTGATATATTCTCTATACAAGATGCTATGTATGCAGATAGTCGTAGCACTAGTATCTACGTATGTATCTGTTCATTGTAATGTGAAACGTGAAGGTGATGATGACGAGATTGTATGAAATAATAATGATGATTAGGCGTAAACTAGTCCTATATGGCTATTGAATATTTATCCCTCACGAGATTCTCGTTGTTAGTCTGTTTTCTTCATTCGCAGAAGATGAACATCTCATCACAGATAACATCTATCTATCTATATATATACTACTTATTGTCACTTTTGATAGTAATATGTGAATAATAGTAGTAGAAGTAGTAGTAATTATTATTATTATTAATCTTGCAGATTTAATGTGTACCCTCCGTGTATACAGGTGGGTGGGTGTGTCTGTCTGTGTGTGTGTATAAGATGCAGTTGTTAGTTGTTGATGATCATGATGATGAAGTCGTTGAAGTTGTTCCTCCCCCAGTCGTTGAAGTTGTTCTTGTTGCTGTTGTTATCTAATTATGATGCATTAATATAATAATTATTCAATGAGAATATCTGTTAAAATTGTTTTTCACTTTTCATCTACTCGTGCTTGGGGAGTATTTTTTTGCCAGTTTGTTTGTATGTATGTATGTGTGTGATGAAGAAGATGTTGAACTGAGGAAGTAGTAGTATCACGCATTTATTATTATTGTTATTATTATTATTATTACTAATATCATTAATATTACAATGGTTATTGATTAATATTCTCCTTGTTTTTAATTTTGAAATGTTGATAATACTTGGACGGGTACGTGCGTGTGTATACATTTTAGTAGAGAGGAGTGTCGCTAGGGGGGTGGTGGATTTCATCATGAGCTGTCATCGGTGTCATTGAACTACTGGAAAACTAGCTGGGAGTAGTGCACAGCCAATTGTTTCGTCAGCCTAGTTCGCATCCGTCGGGGCTCGAACCGAAGACCTTCTGGTTACAAGGCTAGCGAGCTCGTCGTAGACCATTCATGGCCAGCCAGCCCATGAATTCTAACTTCTGCCAATTCACACGACATAGCGCGATCATTTCGCAATGTCCTCTTCGATAAGTTACTGACGTCATCTTCAAACTGCTGGTCATGGTTTCCCAGTACTCCCAGCTGGTTTTCCAGTGGTTCAATAAAACTGATGTCAGCTCATAATGAAATCCTCCATTGAATTAAACAAAATCCCTACAAAACCAATACTATTATTATTATTATTGTTCCTCATCATCGGCTGTCTGGCTCTACACTCATATATAGTCGCTTTTTACATCAAAAATGTTTTTTACCAATCAAGTGGTTATTTTAGTTAATCAGTTTTAGGTATTCGGAGGGATAGCGGGGGAAATTAAGGCGTTAAAAGTCATCAAAACATCAGGTAACTAATAGATGTTAGTAACAAGATATCTAAGTTTTGAAGGAGGGGAGGGCGGTGAAAACTGATTAATTCCGGAATTCAAGATTCAAGGTGATTCTTACGCGTTAGCAACCAGTTATTATATAATTAAGAAATTTGTAAAATAGCAATGATGACTCAGAAGAATTAAGTAATATACAAACAAGTTAATTGAATTAGCTAGAATTGTAAAAATTAGCAAAGTGAAAAGACAGTTACAAGGGGAGAGGAAAACTTCGCTTTTAAAAAACCAATACATATTATGTAGTTGGTCATGGCAAAGAAAGGAGCTGTACAAATAAATTTCTTTTGAACACACAGATTTGGCTTGTTCAGATGAATTCCGACTCCTTCTGCTGTTTATGTAAAAGTCGTACTCGTAGACCGTGCGGCGAGAGGTTGGGTTATATGCGATAAATAACTTTGAAAGTTTTGTTAGAGTCGATTTGATGTCCAGTATCAACGAGATGAGCTGAGTATAGCTTTATTCGAACCTTTGCCAAACTCAAGGCTCAGGCATGAAGCTATATGCTCCATTAGGAAGGCAAATAAAGGAAGAAACAGAATCTCGTCTCTAACTTTAAAATGAACCCAGAGTAGGTTGTCTTAGTTGCTTGTTTTTTATAGTGTTACAGTACGCACTTTTGCTTCTTCCAGAGGACTCATGTTAACAAACTACTTTAAACTGTCTACCATCAAACTGGACATTATACTGATAAATTTTCTGAAAGGATAAAGAAAACACGAGCACATATTTGCAAGATAATACGAGCTCATTTTATCTCGTGGAATCTCTTCAATTGCATACATCCTAAATGAATAAATTATATGTTAAAAAATTTCTGAACCCTAACAGAGCATTTACAATGTACCGTGAATGTGACAATCAGTTCCACTACTTCCTAGATCTCAACATAGAAAGAAGAAATGATGGGACAATTGAAAAATCCATATACAGGAAAGAAACTTCGATTGGCCAATCCTTGAATTATTACAGTTTCTGCCCGATCGTCTACAAACAGAGCCTGATGAAAACGTTTTTCAGCAGAGCTAGGGCGTGGTATTCAAAAGATATGATCTAAGAGGAACTCTCCCTCCGAAGTTCATATCGAAATATGGGAAGGAAAACCCACCGAAACCAAAACCAGAAATAGTTGAAAAGAAACCGGTTTTTCTCTGTCTAGCGTATAAAGGTGAAGAAGTATCCCATGAGAACGGAAAACAGAATTAAAGGTGCATTAATAAGAGCGTTTCCCACCACTAGACTCACTCTACCTTACAACACAGAATGCTCGTTAACCGAATCAAAAGCAGATTAGTATCCTTCTCTTCAGGGATAACTCCAGCTGCATTTATCAATTCACCTGCACTTCCGTCATCAAGCCCATTAGAAGGACTGAGAGGAGAGTGTCTAATAGATTCTCCAAGCATATCTCTAAAAGTCTCCATTTTCAAGGCAACAAAGTGTTCCCAAGGGCACTTGTCAGACACCTAATTGACTGACACGGGACATTCAGTGGAAATTAGCCTGCATGCTTTCAAAATATTCAATACTCAAAGAAAACCATGGTTACTGCGGTTCGCAGAAGCCATTGTCATCAAAAGACTTTGCCCCAACCTATGCATACAGAAAGATAGTGTGACTAATCTCTTACTACCCTACCTGGTAACCATAGTCGTTTCGTTTGTGTGCTTTGTTCTGTTGCATAATATTCCACTCAATCTTGATTTTGATTTTCACTCACTGAGTTGAACTCACTATTACGCTTCTCAATCTACTAGATTAAATTATTTTGTCTATTTTATAATTTTACTTCAATATTCACCCCCGGCAACCCTCCTGAACTCTACACCATAATTTGTATAAATTCACTCTGTTGTTCTCTCTTGTATTTTGTCTCTAGTCCATCCTTGTTTCCAAGCGAAATCTGAATTCCACCTGTTTGTCTAATATAAACAAACAACAGCTGTGGCTACGGAATAACAACACAGGAGATATATGTTGGCTCAAACTACTTATTAGTGGTCAGTAGTACAATGTAGAACACAAGGGAGATAGAAGCAAAGGATATATAAGGAAGGAAGGAATAATAGCAGAGCACTCTATCTTACCCCTCCCCTCACCAGCAGATTCATTCTACTTAGCTTAGACATCAAACTGTTCACTCAGTTGAAAGACATCTAAGACAAGCATCTGTCTTATCAACGTTCAATCCCCTGTCCTGAAACACTTCACTTCATCTACAACATGAAGTGGAGATTTTCCTAGCGATGGAGCTGAATCAGAATATTACAGAATGATGACTCGAAACATCACATTTTCAAGCAACAATGTGAGCTGCAACGTGAATTACTTACGTGTCATTCAGTTGAATACACATGACATGAAAAATGATGACTTACACAGTTCAATCAACTGTGATTTCCTTTTCCAGCACCAGTGATTGATATCAAACAATCAATCACAAGATCAATTTCGTCACCAACCGGTGTCATTTTAATTGGTGGCAATTCCCTACGAATGGAATAAACAGCTTCTTTGCCTAATCTGTTGGATGGTTACTGTCTGGGATTTATCAATTGGATGTCCTGGCAATACTCACTGAGTGATGTTGTCCTGTTGCCCGGAACCGCCTGGTGAAAAACTTCTTGATGATGAATAGTTACTCATTTTAACACTAAATAATTGTCTACTTACACCATGTTTGAAATTATGTTGCTTATACTGTCTACCTATAACTTGAAATCATTGTAAAATGTATGTTCAGGCGCAATTTTGCAACATATAAGTAATTTATTTGGGATCTAGGCAGTTGAAGAGAATCCACAAGATGAAACGAGTTCGTATTATCCAGAAAATATATGCTCTCTTTTACTTTATTCAAACTAATAAAGGAAACCGGCTGTATGAAATTCCTGAAGGGATATTTAAGTGACCAAGGCCTTCTACGAAAGCACAGAAACATTTTGGGCATATTCAATATCTGATCAAACTTGCATTCACATTTAATTGAATTTTAGATTTTCCCGTCGATTGATTGGACCGAAGTGCTCGGTCTCAGGTTGACATGTTAGCTTCTTGAGCAGATGCTTCGACGATGTCTGCGCATTTAATTTGTATTTAATTTTTTTACGAGTTGATAACGGATTGATATCAGTTAGAGAACCAATGAAAACCAGGGAGTACTGGACAGCTGTTTCATCCTAGTTTGGGAATCATTGCCAGTACGCACCCACTGGGATTCGAACCCAGGACCTTCCGGTTACAAGGCAAGCTCGTATACCATTCAGCCACTGGGACCCGATTCAATGGTTCTCTAACTGATATCAATCCGTGATCAACTCGTAAAAACATAACTAACCCTTACAAACCAAAAACTATAGTATTTAATTGGTGGATGGTGACTAACAGTGGAATCCAGGATGCACATTTCGTCCTATTTGGAACTCGTCAGCTCGATGTACCTGCATTTCTCAGTGAGTGATGACGTTCCCACCGAGGCTCGAAAATCTAAAATTCAATTAAATCAATATGACCCGCTGCACAAGAGGTCGCTCTCTTGGCCCAAGTGGTCTAGTGGATAACGCTTTGGCGTTTGAAACTATAAGCACTGGGTTCGAGCCGCGATGGGAACATCATCAATCACTGGGGGATGCAGGCACATCCAGCTGGAGGACGAGTCCCAAATACGACGACATGTGCATCCTGGATTCCAACACTGCTAGTCACCATCCACCAATTAAATACTTATTAATTGCATACACATTGTTTATGTGAATTAATTGTTCAGACCAATCCACACGCCGTTCTACCCGAGACAGTCAATCGTAGATACACATTCAACTAGCAAAGGAAGATGAAATCCTGATTTCACCACAGTTGACTTTTCTTTTCTAGTTTTCTAAGGTATACTGTAAAAAAGAATTTAAGAAAATACAAATACAATAAAAGCAGAATTATTTTCCTGTTCACATTTAAACATTAAGCATTTGTTTTAATTGATTATTAAAGAAAAATGGCGTCGAAATTAAGTAGTTAATTACAGTTGCAATTGTAGTCGGTAAAAACCCATTTAATTTATTTGTATCATTAATGGGTAATTTTCGTTAACGAATATTTTTTCCGTATTTTTGCATTACAAGTTGAACATAAGGCCGCAAGCTCGATCTTTACCGTCTCTGTACCTGTGGTATTGTTTTTATGGGACAAGGTTGCTAGCCTCACACCCAACCTTCCCTCTTTATCGGGCTTAATATCATCATCACTGGTGATGTAAGTGTATCCATTCATCGAGGTTCAAAT